GAGTCCTTTGGGTCAAGCTTGCACGATATAGCGTACGCAGCCAGCAAGGTCGAGACTGGATCCGAGTTCTCAAAGGTCTCGATGGAGCAGGTTTGCTCACCGTCACCAGTGCACTTGAAAAGCGGAACGTCGGGAGCGAAAGCATTGACAGCCTTGATCTTCAGTGCCGTCTTTTCCCAAAACCGACCTCCGGCGAGATTGTCCGAGTAGCGTATTGTCATGGGAGTGTTGAAGATGTTAAACTTGTACCGGAAGCCGCGCGTTCTGCAGTCGGTGTGCCGATACTGCTCGTGCCGCGTGACTGACCTCCCATCCGCGTCTGTGTCGTTCACAATGCGCGTACGCACCTGGGCGGGCAGGAGCAAGGATGGAGTCAAGGGCGGCGTACGGGCCACAGTGGCAGCGTGCCACGTGTGGAGTTGAATGAGGACAGGGGCAGTGCGCCTCTTCAAACCACGTCCCACTCCCAGTCACGTCGAGCCAACCAATCTGGTTGGTCATTGCCTCATCAGAGTACAGCACTGCGCGCTTGGAGAGGGTCCAGGTTGCCCACATCCTCTGCGACGAGGATATGCCCCAGTCCACATTCCCGTCCCAAAGGTCAAGATAGGGACCAATGTCAAGGTCGCGGTCGCCTCCCGATACCTTGAAGGAGAACGCGTCCCATTCTCCCCTGATGTTCACCGCGCCGAGCACCGTACTCGTCTTCTTGCCCGCCGCGTCCACCTGCCCAGGCGATCTATGCTTCAGGAAGTAGGAGTAACCCTTATCCCAGAAGGAGCCGACCGCGTCCAGCAGCATCCACTTGACCTCTTCGCCATCCGCCAGCGTCACGAGAACGTCGTAGTCGGCGCTGAAGAAGCCCTTCTTCTTGAGGCGCACCTTGAGTGGCTTGCCCCACTCCGGAGGAGGGAGATCCGTCTCTGGCGCGATGTTGACGGAGCCGCAGCAGCCCATCGACGAGAAGGGCGCTCCCTCCCGCCCGCGACGATTCGTTACAAGGTCACCTTTTCTTCACCGATGAGCCCCGTGGTGTCGGCGTCGAGGCGTCCGAACACCAGCCCAGGCACGCTTCGCGTGGCCCCCCTTGATGGACACTGAGGATGAACAGGAGGGTGGAAACTTCGACACAGAATGGAATACAGCCGGGGAGGCGAGGACGATAATACTCGAGTAGGTAGGAAGACCGCATTTGCATCGCAAGCTCGTTCCTCAGCCGGCTGCCGATCGCCGCCTTCCTCACAATCCTGGCCGACGTCACCGCTGCATCCTTTGGGTCGCTGATATTGCCAGCCGCCTTGGGATTCTCGTCCTCCAGACTCAACACCACATACCGCAGGCACGGCCGCCAAAAGCCCACTCACAATGCGCGGGCCCGGTTTCTTTTTCTCGCGATGTCAGGCCCGCTGCGCCGCTCACGCCGCCTCGCCGCCGCCGCCGCCGCCGCCGCACGCTGCCCCCTCACCGACCTGCCCCTCGAGCTTCTCGCGCGCGTCATCTCCCGCTGCGACCCCGCCGACATCGCTCGCGTCGCGGCCGTCTCGCTGCTCTTTCACGCCTCGCTCGCGCTAGAGGGCATCCGCTTGTGGGCGCAAGAGAGCGGCTTCGAGCTGCCGGCGCAGCCAGAGGGCGAGAGCTGCGCCGTCCGGTGGCTGTGCTTCGCTGCGCTGCTGTGCGAGGCCAACCCGCCGGTGAGGGCGGCGGCAGACCGCTACCACAGCCTCTTCATCGACAGCGAGGGGCGGCTCTCGTCGTGCGGCTGTGCGCCGCTTCAGTTCCCAGGCATCCTTGGCCACGGCGAGGGCGTGACGCGGCTCAACACGCCGACCCGCCTCCCTTCCCGCTGGGCGGTGAGCGCGCCGTGAGCGTGTCGGCTGGAGGCTGCCACAGCCTTGCCCTCACCCGCCGCGGCAGCGTCTGGAGCTGGGGCT